GCTCTCTTCCTTCCCACACATAGTCAGTCCTCCATCTGCTTTCTGATTCCATGTATTCCACCAACTGATTCCCTGCCCCTAAGAGCTCCTCTTCTCTTTCCTAGTTCTAAGAACCTCCACACATAATTCTGAATGCCCATAGAGGAGAAAGCATGTGGTATTTGTGCTCACATATTTAATTATTTTACTTAGCACAATGAGTTGATCTATTTCCTGGACATGTAACTTTTTCATATTTCTTTATGATTGTATAGCATCACATTACATGTAGCACATTTCTCTATCTGTTCCTTTGTTGCTAGACATGAAATGCTCATTTTGATTTCCTGGCCATTCTGAACAGCAGAGCAAATAAACAAACAAAAACACATGAATATGCAAGCATCTCTGTGGCATACCAACTTAGAGTCCTTCCAATATGTAAGAAAGTGGCACGAGTGTAGTAGTATGGTAGTTCTGACTTCGATTTTGAACACCCTCTACACTGTTGCAGAATACTATTTTAACTGTGTAAACAGGTGGGGCTGGCTGGCAGAGAGAATAAACAGGAGGAGAAATGTAGGCTCTAGAAAAATAAGAGAGAAGAAATAGGAGGGAATGAAGAAAAAAGAGAAGGACATGCCTGGGGCCAGAAGCCAGGCAGCCACCAGGCAGCCATGGAAAAGCAGTGAAAGTAAAATATACAGAAGGAAAGAAAGGTAAAAGCCCCAAGGCAAAATGTAGTTAAAGAGAAACAGGTTAAGTTATAAGAGCTAGCAAGAAATGAGCATAAGCTAAGGCTGAGCATTCATTATGACTAACAGGTGTCTGTGTCATGATTTGAGAGTTGGTTGGTGGTCTAAAAGAAAGCCTGCTGCAACACTCCTTTCCACAGTTGCTGTGTCTGCTTACATCCCCACCAGTGGGGAAGGAGCATTCCTCTTTCCCTGCATCTTGACAGTATGTGTTGTTATTTGACTTTTTTCCTCTTTCTTCTGTTTTTGTTTTTGCTTTGATATTAGCCATTCCAACTGGTGTGAGAGGGAATCTAAAGAAAATTTTCAGTTTCAATTTCATAATGGCTAAGGATGTTGAACACTTTTCAAGTATCTGCTCATTTGTATTTCTTCTTTCAAGAAGTTTATTATCCCAGAACTATTTTTTTTTTGAGATAGGGTTTCTCTGTTTAGCCTTGGAGTCTGTCCCGGAACTTGTTTGTAGACCAGGATGGCCCTGAACTCACAGAGATCCACCTGCCTCAAAGTCTTAGAGTGATAAATCAAGAGAGAGAAATAAAAAGAGTATAATTAGGAAAGAGATTCTAATTATTCTCACTTGCAAATGCTCCCATATGGAAAAGAAAACTCTTAGACCTTATACATATTTTTCAAGAAGAATGCAGGAGAGAAAATCAGTAACTTTTCTCTAGACTGATAATGAACTTCCTGAGAAATAAATCAAGGCTAAAACATATGCGTAATAGCTTCACACACACACACACACACACACACACACACACACACACACACACATACACACACACACACACACACACACACACACTAGCCTAGGTATAAATGTAACCTAGGAGATGAAAGACTTCTATAATAAAAACTCACAGAAGATAGAAAAATATCTTACATTAATGGATTGGCAGAATTACATATATATGCCATATATATACTATATATAGTAGTCATTTTTATAATATAGATTATGAAAATAATTATTTACCAAAAGCAGTCTGCTGAGTAAATGTAAGTGTTGTCATTCTTTACAGACATGGAAAATACCACGAATACCATATGGAAACACAAAAAAACCCAAGCAGTAAAAGCAACTCTATATTATAAAGAGCAATGCTGGAGATACTTCAGAACCGGACCCCAAATTGTATTACAGAGACACAATAACAAAAACACCATGGTACTGGCACATAAAAACATGCAGAACAACAAAATAGAGGGCCTTCCAAAAATATACCAACAAATTTTTATAAGGATGCCATATTTGTGGATGTGGATGTGTGTGTGTGTGTGTGTGTGTGTGTGTGTGTGTGTGTGTATGTGTATGTGTATATATATATATATATATATATATATATATATATACATTCATACACATGTATATTTATAAAACATATATAGGTAATAATTTGAGAAGGGGTTGGGGATACAAGAAGAACTGGAATCGGGAGAGAGGTGGAAATGGACATAACATAAAACAAAAAAACATTGTTAAGAAAAAATAGACTTTATCAAATGGGTCTGGACAAAGTAGGATTTCTGCATGTACTTTTGCATTTGTAGATTTTAGATCTGAAGTCTTATCTCCCGACCTGCATAGTAATCTACTCAAAATAGATCAAAGAACTTGTTGTAAGACCTGGTTCTTTGAAACTGTTTAGAGGAGAACATAAGTAAAATACTTCAAGGCAAGTGCACAGGCAAGGAGTTGAGAAAAGATGGATGGAAAAATTTGACAACTACAGCTCAGATGGGGTATTAATATCTAGGGTGTATAAAGGACTGCAAAAATCAAACAGTCAACCCAGAAATTATCAGGTCAATAAACATAGTGCTTTCTGAATATTCTAAGGCACATACTATTAGAGTTGAGAAGGGTGGCACACACCTGTAACCCCAGCACTTGGAAGGCTGGAGGACATCCATCAGTTTGTAGCCCAACTGGGCAATGAGCAAGATCTTGTAGCACAGAAAAAAAAGAAAAAAAAAAGAATTCTACCACTGAGAGTCCTGTTGCTTTTCCTTTCCCAATTTTGTTGATAGGCCTGCTTTGTTTCTTGTCGCTCAGCATTTAAAGCTTCTTGCTTTGGCTTTTATGCTAGTCTCCCAGAATGAACTGCTATGCCATTGTTCTATACTCTTAAAATATTGATTTTTTTGATGCATCTATAGCCTGTAAGAAGTAATCACAGAAGAGAAGCCACCGTCATTGCTCCTGAGTTGGATTCTGTTTTGTTTTAATAGTATAAACCTGAGCTCTTCTTCAGCTTACTTCTCCTGTATCTACACAGGGCTCACCTTCTCACTCCATTGTCATCCCTTACACAGATGTCACCCTATCAAAGTTTCCATCCCATATGATCTTGAGCAAAATAATACCCATCATCACTGTTCTACCAGGGCAATATCTCAGAGTAGAGCATACATTGAGTTCTTCGTGATTTTCCTTAATATCCGTCTCCTCAAATTCAAGCACACAATCAACCACTACTCACTTCACTCAGTTATTCTGAGAAAAGTGAGTCATACCAGAAAATGGTGAAGAAATGTTGGTTGAATGGGTGAATCCTTAGAGAAAGACACACACAGAATGGGAATACAAGAATGGAGATCAGTTGATCCACCTCCAGTATACCACCCAGTTTCATTTAGAGTAGGTGACAGTGGCCTCAAACCAAGGCTGTGTATTCAATAATTCTGGGCCAGAACTAAGAAACAGAATTTCTAATACAGTCCCTGTTCACCCTCAGGCTGCTCGTGAAGAAACCTTACTTTGTCTTGATGAACTATTTTTTTTTTTTTGCCATCTGAAACTTGATTTATTAAAACAATTTAAATTATTTACTGAATCAATTTATCATCCCTCTTTATTTTCTTTAAGAATCAGCCATGTCTTGCCCAAGTAAGTCTGTTTGGCAAAAACTCAAAGCGGATATTATTCTTAGGGTTGGGACAATGGCATCAGCTCTTAAATGATCATATATATGCAATGCTGTTTTTAAAAATTAAATTATTTTAAAAATTATCTGTTTGTCTGTCTCTGTGTGGGTCTGTGAACATTAATTTGTGTGCCTACAGAGGCAGAGGTATTGAATCCCCCTGGAGCTGGAATCATAGGTAGCTGTGAATCACATGATATGGGTACTAGAAATTGAACTCTGATCTTCTGAAAGGACAACATGTGTGCTTAATCATTAAGCCATCTCACGAGCCCCAGAAACTTCTAGTTGTAACACATAGCAAAAAACTATGCTAAGTTCCCCATGAGAAAATCTTACATCTCATCTATTTTTAAGTGTACACTTCTGAGGCAAGCATATTCATCTTCTGACACCTGGTTTGCACTCCACTTTCTTCTTTCCAAAATTATGTCTGATGCTAGACATGGCAGTCACACAGGGATCGATCCTCTAGGTGTCACATTTCACAAGGGTGTTCAGAGAGTGTAAGCCAAATGAGAATATGTGACCCAAACCTATCATGAATAATGTTAGTGGAAGTTCTTGGATTCTGAGTATTCAAAATTGTACCCACTTTATTAAATTTGAAGGAAAATTAACAGAAGTTGGATTATATATATCACGTGAGGCTGACTTTGCAATCCATTCCAGTCAGCCTTGTAGCCTTTTCACTGGTGTAAAGCAATGGAGCTTGAAACAAGATGCTTCATATTTTTTGTGCCTGGGATACATATGTTTAAAGACAGAGTTTTCTCCCTAAAAACAGAAACTTTGAGGTCACTTTGTCACATTAGAAATGCAGCGTGGGTTTCTTGAAGCTCTGACACATGTTGCCTTTCCTTGTAGCATGCAAAGAAAGCTGTTCACATATTATGCCTCCTAATACTTCTAGCCACAAATGCATTAGCTCTCAGACAAGCACCATGCTATCTATCATCAATGAGATGCCACAAAATAAGACATGTTCTAATATCGCTTTGAAAAGAATTGCTTTGTGCTTTAAGTGCCGAGAACAAGCAAGCACCTCTGCCTATACTTTCAATCAGCTGCTGTATTGTTCAGAAAAGTAGTTGACAGCATAAGCACCCTGTGAGCATTATATTCAGGAAGGATAAGAAACATAAAGAATAGGAGGCTCAGGTAGGTGGATGGGTTGGTAGGGTAGTGTCAGGGGCCCGCTGTTTTCTCAGAAACAATTGTAACAGCTCTATTATGTAATGGAACAATGGTTTTGGAGACTTATGACAATCACATGCTTTAGCAGAGATAAATTAATTACTAAACTGAATTATAAAACCCTTCCCACTAGTCTTACTTGGAGGCAGATCCCGCATTTTGGGGATATGAAAACAGTCTCTAAAATGCCTCAGTTTATCTTCCTCATCCAAGCGGAGTGCAACTCTCTCATCTGTTGGGTGGCATTTGAGTTCAGCCGCAATGCGCCGCACTGCGTCAACCGGTAGCTCAAGGGGCGAGGGCTCCATCACAAACTGTTATCTAAGAAGGAAGTAAAATGATCAAACAATATCGCCATCGTCACTTCTCTACAGAGTATTATCCCTTTACAGAGTGTACCATGGTTTTAAACCCAGATTCCCATTTTTGCAACTCCAGAAACAATAGAATTCTAGCCAGGAGCAGTGGTACATACCTGTTATCCCGGAACTGGAAGGCTGAAGTAGGAGAATTACTGAGAGATAGACACAAGCTTGGGCTACACAGTGAGTGCGTCACACCAGGACGGGCTACATACTGAGACCAACCTCCCTCCCCCAAATCAAACCAACAGAAGTGGCTGGAGATAGGGCACCAAGAGTAAAGGCCTTTGCTGTCAAGCCTGGAAACCCAAGTTCCATTCCTGCAACCCACATGGTAGAAAGAACAATGGAATTACTCACTTTAAACCTAATCCAAAGATTTTGTTCTATATACAATGAAAATAGTAGTAACTTAGAAATGTTTGAAAATACTATGCTAGGTGTGGTGGCACAACAGGGAGGCAGAAGCAAACCTTTAGGAGTTTGAGGTCAGCCTGGATCACATAGAGCTTTCCAGCCCAGGCAGGGATACATACTGAAACCTTGTCTATATAAATAAAAAACAAAAATTGCTAAGGCTGCAGAAGAGATTTTGTTGTTAATATTGCTGGTTTTTTATTTTTTTTATTTTGTGGTTGTGTGTGTGTGTGTGTGTGTGTGTGTGTGTTATACATGTCTGTGTACATGCATGTGTTTCTGTGTGTATGTGCATATATGTTTGTGGGTCACACGTCTGTGTGCGTGCATGCAGAGGCTGAAGGTCAGTGTTGGTGTTGTCCTCACGCACTTAGTCTAACATTCCTGACACAAGTGCTCTCACTGACCCTGGAGCTCACCAATAGCCTAGGTTGGCTTGCCAGTGAGCTCCAGCAGGGCCTAGTTAGTTTCCATCCTTCCCTTCATACTGGGGTTACAAATGCCTGTTGCTGCACCTAGATTTTCTGTAGGTGCTGGAGATCTGACATCCGATCTGTGGGCTTGTATGGCAGATAGTTTCCTGAGTGAAACATCTCCTGTAACCTCCTCATTCTGTTACTTTTCAATTTTAGGGTTTATTTATTTTTATTTTGTGTGTATGATTGTTTGCCTACATGAATATGTCTGTGTGTGTGTGTGTGTGTGTGTGTGTGTGTGTGTGTGTGTGTGTGTGTGTGTCCTATGTGTGCAGTGTCCACAAAGGCCAGAAGAGGGTATCTGGTCCTTGGAACTGGAGTTGCAGGCAGTTGTTATCTGTGTGGGTGCTGGAAACCAAAGTCAGGTTCTCTGTAAGAAACAAGTACTCTTAGTGAACTGAGCCATCTCTCCAGTCCTCATTCCATTCTTATCTGAAAAAAACAAACCACGAATTTATTGTTTCACCTCATTCTGTCTAGCTATTTTACTAAGTTGTAACAATGAAGGTTCCTTTTTTTTAAAAGTATAGACACCTAATTCTCCATGTTACAACATTTTAAAGCTATGAATAACTTAAACTTTAACAAGAGTCTTTAATGTACATGCAAATGTAATGTATATGATATTGATGGAAAGGCAAGTTCTCTTGGAATGTCCTCTTTCTCTCAATAGGATACCAGAGCAATTAATTCAACCACCTGCTGCTTCTCAGCCACCCCAGAGCAAGCAGGATTCTGTAGTGTTTCTTAAAACCACATTCTACTCTGTTTCCTAATTATCTAGAACTCTTTAGTATTTGGGGAAGTGGGCTGAACCTTTCTGAGGAGCCATTAGGGGTTCAATATTTTTTTTAAAGAAAATTACTTCAATAATTGGTATAGAATGTATAAAATGAATATGGGAACACCTACATGCCACTAAGCATGTGTGGACATCAGAGGAAAACTGTTAGAAATGAGTTCTCTCTTTGCACTGTGGGTCTCGGTAGTGAGTTCAACACATCCTGCTGTGCAGCAAGCACTTTTACCAGTTGAGTTATCTCACTGGCCTGACAATGGAGGTTTAATTGCATGTTTTAACTCCATTCATCGGTTGGCATATTGATTTATATTTCCCCGAAATTTCAGGCTTTTGAAGTTGAGTAAGAAAGGTGTGAAAGATACCTAGCCCACCTTAGACTTCCTTGTTTTACACATGGTAGTTCTGTAAGCATCATCCACTTAAGCCTTTAAGACCTGTGCTTGCCTTGCTCCCTTCCTGTAGCCCCCGATACTGGTGGGAGGGTAGGGGAGAAAGCTGTAAGTGTCAATTCTTACATGGTTGACATTTTGTGGAAGAAAAGGAGAACGAATACTGTAGTAAATGTTGTGGATACTTCTAAGAACTAAGGGAACAGAATAATGGGATGCATCTGTGGCTTAAGTGACCAACCTCAGTGGGGCCCTGTGCATTTGTCTTGATGAAAATCTCAATTGGAAGGAAGATGGTTATAACTGAAAGGTCCAGGGCAGGAGATGACCTTAGCTTGGTCACACAATACTCTGTAGGGTTAAGGGGGTGGGAAATCGAGTGAAGTTGACAAGGGCAGCAGATATTAGTTTTGGAAACTTCTGTGACCCAAAGGGGCTTTGGGGTACTTGTCGAATAGAAAATAGGCTTATTCAGTGATTTTAGTGAAGAAAAGATATGTAATTTGCATTAAGTGAAAAACACCATGTACTCTGAAGAATTATAAGAATTTAACAGGGAGCCGAAGACACGGCAAAGCAGATGAAAGCAGTTGCTGCGTAAGTCTTTCAACCTGAGTTTGATTCTCAGAGCCAAAGTTAAATTCCGGATATATGCCATACATCTGTAATCCCAGCACTCTTGCAGAAAGATGGGGGGTGGAAACAGGAGAACTCCCCAGAATTCCCTGGGACAACCAGCCTAGAGTGTGAGTCTGGCAGATACAAGAAAGCCCTTGACTGAACAATGTGAAAGGAGAGAACCAACTCCCAAAAGTTTTCCTTTGACCCCTAGACACGCACCGTGGCACATATATGCCTGTACTAATGCAGAAAAACCACACACACACACACACACACACACACACACACACACAGATAATATTACTTATACACAATATTACTTATATTAGTAATAACAAATAATTTTTTAAATGTTACAGGATTGAGAAAAGAGAAGAGTGTGAGTTCATGGTACATTTGGTAAGAAAAATACAGACAGGGTGGCAATGGCTTCTCCTGCACAGAAGAGTCCTACATGGAAAACATTCAATTCCATAAGTATAGACAGTGATGCCACTAAGGCCATTGTAATGAAGAGAGTGTATGATGTCTGCTTTTCACCTCATGCTAATCTAGAATGGGTTTTGTTCAAACCTGGCATAGAAGAAGTTTTTAAAGTTGCATTTTATTTTCTATCCTTCCTTTTATTTTGAACTCTAACTACAGCACAGTTTCTTTAGGTACATGTGCAGATGAGAAAGATAGAATATGCTTGCTATGCCTGCGACTTGATTTGAAATTGGTTCCTACTGGGGTACCTTCTGAAGGAGGGAGCATGACTAGAGATGACAGCATCTCTCCCTTGACCTGACACATTTAGTTAGTCCTTGCCTGAACACTTGACCATGCGTTGCTGTGTCCGAATGACTTGCTGCAGCTCTGTTGAGGCAGTGGGCATAGTATTTAGCTGAGCATAACAGCAAATTCTTCCCAGAGTTTGAACTGTGATAGACATTGATTAATTCAGGTAGAAACAGGGTCATAAATTGCAAAGAATCAGAGAGAAGCTATGAAATACTGGGGCTCAAGAGCATATGGTCACGAGAGACTCATTTTTATTTTCTCAGTGAAACAGAAGTATTGATTATTAAACCATGAAAGTGTGCAGTGATTCCAGCAGCAAATAAGGTCACCAAGCTGAGCAATTGTTGTGGCTAAACAGTGAAGACTCCAAACAAATACAGGCTGGTCCTCTGTTGAGAGTCACAGAACCCTGCTATACACTAAGCTCTGCAAAGCTCTGGGGCCTGTTGAGGGCTGTTGCTAAATATCCTGGGGTGCTTTACGTCCTTGCTGTAAGGTGTATCCTTACTACAGACCTGTGACAGTGAGTTCTTACAGGCTCAGTTAAAGTCTATTCTACTGGCACCACACCATGTTTAATTACTCATGCTGGTTACCTCATTGCTAAGCATTGTTGCTTATGTAGGCTTTTCCCTAGAATAAAATGACAGCTGAATAGGAGAAGCCAAACAAACAGCTCAGTGAATGAGGACTAGCTGTTCCCAGGAGAATGTGACCTCTCTCACTCTGACCATAGGAAGACCAATTACAGAAACACTTCTAGTGAAACTCAGAGTCAAGAGTTTGCCTTATGTTGGGATTTTACCTGGAGTGCTGGCACTTTACTATTTCTTTGGGGACACATGAGTTCTGAGAGAGATTATTTCCATTCTGAGATTAATTCACTGTCATATTCCAAGCAGCACCCCACTATCCTCTCAGGGAGCATTTGTTAACACTGTGAAATCTTCTGTGGCTACATTTTAACCTTGCTATCATCCCTTCAATCTGTGAAATGCTGGTGCAATACTACTAAATGAAACTAGAGATGTTTACTCATGCCTGCAGTCTCAGCACTAGGGAGGCTGAGGATGGCCTTGAATTCAGCATCATCCTTGGCTATACTGAGTTCCAGGCCAGCTTGTACTACATCATAAGACCCTGTCTTAAACAACAGCAACCTAGAAACAGTCTTCCTGGTTGCTAACATATATTTTAACATACAACAAAATAATGCGAGAAAACAACTGGTAATAATTTGTGTGAGCAAATGTAGAGACTTTCTAACTGAAAAGAATGGTAGTTCTCCAACTACCAATTCAAAAAATGTTTATTGAGCTCTACTATGACTCAGACATATAACTCTGAAAAAGTAAAATAATGCTTCTGACCTCTTGACAAAGCATGTGGACAATATAAAAGTGAATCATGTTGGGCACGGTGGCCGATATCACAGTAATTTTACTGGGGAAAAGACTGAAGGATTACGAGTTCTAGGCCAGCCCTGAGTACATGGCCAGACCCTATCCAAAAACAAACAAGAAAAGTGTTACTATGTTTTCACCTACGTCTAGTTAGTCCTTGTAACAATACTGAGGAGATAGAGTTACTTAACCCAGAAGCCAAAGACGTTACAACAGATTAAAAAATGGACTCTGAGGCCAATGCAGTGTTTATCAAGTGTGTCCAAGAAGCAAACTGTGCTTCTCTTGAGGAGGCATGG